GTTTGTTCCTGTTCCGCATTTAAAGTTATACCGAGGTGAATAAAAGTTGGAAGCTGAAGAAAGAGTTTGATACTCGGCCATCCACGGTACAATATCTTCTAGAAATTTTCGAAAAAAAATTTTCAATATTTTTCTCGTACTCCCCAAGTGAGCCTCTATCACCCCTTAAAAGGAATGACGCCCATTTTGAATTACCCTGTAGATTCCATTCGATAAAATATTTACAAAAAATGCATTTGAACACCAACAAGAATGTGCTTTCCCGTTTTATAGTCTTCGTTACAGATAAGGTGCACACTTCTTGGTTTCTACTCTAGGTATTGTAGACGGATTGAAAGTTGTTATACATCAAAGAATTGTGTTTTACCCAAAATATTAAACCGCTGTTTAAAAAACCAAGACCAGCCCGCGTTACTGCGTTACTGACTGTAAACTAACTAGTTTCCTGTCTTAATGGGAACATGTGAGTTTTAGTTTCCAATAACAGGTATTCAAAGTAGAAATTGACTGAAAATATTTGACTTTGACTGTAGAGATGAAAAATATATAACATGTATACATATACTGCGTAACTGTACGTATAACCCGGCTTTTATCTGTCTTATAGCCCGATCGGATTTATCAATTGAAGCTAACAAAACCAACAGCACTGTTGTCCGGAAACAGATCGATAAAACCTCATGTAGATGTGTAACAAGTCTAGAAGTAAAAGTAAAGCCATCCATTTAAGTAATTTTTGTTCCTTCCTGGTAATGTTCCTTATTTTTGCAAAAATTGAAAACTAACCAAGAAAAAGGCATTTATGGCCTTGTGCATGACTTGCATGAACATGAAACGTTTGAGGTTTCTGTTACACTATAAGTTGGTTAACATCGCATTAGCCAATTATATTGGAAAATGAGTGCACCCATTGCAAATTCGCAAAATTAATTCGTCCATTTAATAAGCACACAAATTCCAAATCCTCAAAATAAGCTAAAACAGTAAAATAACTTTTCATTTAATTTGACTTTGTAGAAGTAATTAATTGAGTTAGTCACGCTTACAAGCTGGATGCAGATCTGATAAAAGCGAAATCATGGATGTGAAAATAATGCTTCCACATGTACAATTACGAATCAACTGATTTTATTGAATTATAAGCAGTTACTCACCTTCAAATTATGATAAAAGAACACTAATCCTAGCACCACTATAGTAAAAAACACGAATAGAGTAAACGTAGTTACTTGAGACACTTGCAAAACGTTCAAAATATTGCTTAAAGTAAACGCGGCACCATGACAACATATAACCGGAAGAATGCAGCGGTCCAAAACGTCCCATGGGACTTCTTGCGCTGCAAGTGGCGATTTACTGGGAAGTCCCACCGACGATTGTCTCCTGATGGAAGTTTTTCTTATATTTCCAATTGGTGGTAAGGCCTTTAAGGAAGACCGTCGTTTGAACGGACCGCTCATCCTTGTTATTGGTAAGCGAGATCAGGGAAGTAACTGATTCCAGAATGTCGAGATCCAGACCCGGGATCGGCAGTGTCAAGTGCCTCAGACAACGCACGAACGCTGCGAGTTAAATACTGAAAAAGTTAGGCAACATTATTCAAGAACAAATTTTTTGAAAATGACGATATTATTTGCAACCGTCAAAATTTATCCGGTTGTAAACTGTTTCCAATTGGGGTGTTCACTTTTAGGTCAATACTAGTAACCGGTCAGACGGATAATTGATACCGCTTTCGTTCATTAGAACAGTCTAGCATTAATTTATCATACACGGGTGCATGTTTCGCAGCTGTTCTTGACATATTTATAGATTAGACATTGATATGTAGTTATATAAAACTTCTGACAATGAAGAAAACATTTCAATTTCGAATTTCGCTTCAATTCCGAACACGAAAAAACTGCAGTCACGCACCTTTACACAGACCACAAAACCCAATTAAATATTTATTATTTACTCATATTATATTTGACGCGTGGCGTTAACATTTTAAACTAAAGTAAGGTACAATTTATAATACAAAAACATTATTTTGATGCTACTGAATCAATACTGTATGTTTGTGCTAATCAAAGCACTACGTTTCAGATTTATTTCTGCATCATTAGGATCTAACAATTAACAAAATATACTATAACAATTACGTTTATTTGGCGTTATATTTATAACGCAGTTCTCTTTTACTACTTAAATTAAATCCTTGATTATCGTTGAAAACCATTGACTTATGTATGGTCCATTGTATAGAAAATAAAACGTTATAACATGATGGAAAACAAATTACTCATCGATGGTGTTGTGCAAAAGAAAAAGTTAAAATATCTCGCCCAACGGCCTGTAGAAGAGACGTGAGGCAAACGTTTGCCTAAAGGCCGTTTAAGGTAAACGTCTAACAAAATGAACATTAATGGCAACATTTCTTCAATTACTTTAAATTCTTCCAATAAAATGTATTCTGCATTTCAAGCGAAATTCGAAAATTGCCTTAAATGTACAAGGTTCCATTAGAAAGAAGGAAATTTTTGTTAATTTCAGGAATACGCTCAGTTCATCGTGGGATACGATATTCTTTTATATTTTTTAATAAGAGGTTATTCAATTTGAGGTTTGGAAAATTACACCTTGCTATTGCTGTAATTGCTTGCTGTAAAGATACTGCGTCGGTTACTGATATTGTAAGGCCTGTGCATCATCGCAACATTCTTTCAGCTGAAAATATCGCTGTTGTTGCTCAAAGTGTGGAGGAAGACCCGAATTCGTCGATTCCCCGATGTGCTCAACATTTGGGCTTGTCTTACTGCTCATTGTGGCGAATTTTACAATTGGATTTGAAGCTCCATCCGTACAAAGTCCAACTGACTCAAGACCTTAAGCCTCGAGACGATGGGCAAAGCAGAACATACGCAAATTGGGTGATTGAACAACAACCTTAGAGGATAGCGTTGCATGGCGAAGACTTCGACCACGAATAGTCACGACGCTCTAAACCGATCAACGTCTGAAGAGAGAGATAGAAACAAGAGCTGACAACAAAAGAACGAAAACAACCGCAATCTTCGAACCTACGAACAACAGAAATGGAAAGACTCAATGACATCTCAGGGTACACACTAAGGGACATGAAAAGAAACACAGACATAAGACACGAATGTGAAGTGGAAGACAACTTCAGATCGGGACGTAAACCTAGAAGGGATCGGAAGAGCCACGTGGACAGGATGACAGAGGGAAGTCTGGCAAGAATCGCCACAGACGGAAGACCTTGGACAAGACGCCCTCTCGAAAGACCTCCAAACAGATGTGTGAAGTCCTGGACATCAACATCTCTAGAGAATTAAGTTAGAAAATACCAGCTTAAGCCCTACAATGAGAAGAAGCAGAAGAAAATATTATTGACATTTCCATCCATATGCCACAAACCCAGTAATATAATTTCGTAGTATATTGTGGTGGAGAAACTAATTGAAACATAAGGTCTCTTAGAACAGTATAAGTTTCGCTTTCTCCAAATATGTACCAAGTTGCTTCTTCTTCCGCCCGCGTTCTCAATTCTTCTTATGAATTTCTTCAACCATTTCAGTTTACATATATGAATCTTTAATGTTTAATGTCGTATCAACTCTTACGCGCTAAAAAGATATAAATGTAACCCAAATTAATTTACGATTTATGCCTAAGCTACCTTGTGATAGAGCATTTATTATTCCCGTTTTTAATTAACTACATCAACAAAGATTTCAAAATAAGCTACCAGCTGTCGAATGTACTCATGAATTACATTTGCGCAAGACATGTTACTCTGAGGAGAAGCTACTCTTCTTACGCTAAATGATTAATTTAACGTTGCCTCTAAAATTGTCAAGTTGAAGTGGCTGCAGTTTGTCGGTCAATCTTGAGTAAGTTTATAGAAGTTCATTATCTATTATTTATGATTGCGATACAGTCAGTGACTGTTTTCAAATGTCCAAAATTTTATTATTCTATATGTCATTGTGTTCGTGTGTGACTTTCTGTGTAACAGTTATAATCTTCCACATTTCCCAAAATTAATATGCCTATTAATTTTTATGGCGTTATAATAATATACACCCAATACATTGAAGCAAGTAGGTACATTGTATGAAAAAATGATATAATAACTATTGGGATAGGAAGTACCTCTAATGCAAAAAAAAATATGGGTATAATTAAAATTTGTTATCTGCAAGCTAAGCAGAAAGCTTCCGCAAACTACTGCCAATTTTTAAGTTCTGGTTTTGTTACTTGAGATCTACTGATCAGCTTCTGATACACTTTTCGACAAAATGCATTCTTTCTTTTAATACATACATAAGAACATACATTCTTATACATAACAATAAGGTTTTTCTGGAAATTATCGGTATTACCATCGATAATTCCGAGCTTGCCTGCTGCCGTAAAATCTCTGAAATAACATCCTATTCATGGTGCGTTGCTGCAGCGATTTATCTGAATATCCTTCGCATAAAGTTAAAAGATATAGGAAGGGACCTGCTTTCACGAAAGGCCAGACTTGGGATGTAGGCGGATAAACAGTGCTATAGTGGCGTAGATAAACCAATGTGTAAACTAAGTCTGATTCGGAGGAAAGAATGTATTTTAAATGCTTAGAGATGTCGGCTCTAAAATGTATTAAGGGCATAAATCAAAACAAGGACAACATAGCTTGGATTAATTCAAAATTAAACCAACAACTTGACAGCTTTTCTACTGCCTGTTCGAAAAAATGAAAAATGAATTTTTATTTCACTCACATTTTACATGTAAATTTGAAATAAAAAAGTACTTTATAAAAGTTAAAGTGTTGTGTTAAAATACATGATAACCAAACTGGATAGCTTTATGATACCACCTATGCACGAAATAAATATATCTAATCACAGTGTATTTTTGTGAGTGTAATACACGTTGGTGAAAAATCTGACTTTATATGAAGCTGGAGGAGTTAAAAAAAGATATTGAAGCAATATATTTTAAGCGGTGAGAAAAAGGTGACTTTGAATGTATATATTTTTAAACAGGTATTGGTATTTTACTGTCAACAGACATTCCATTAAAATGGTGATTACTTCCAGTCTTTCTAAAACACGGGAAAACCATATTGACCAAAATATACATTCACACATATAACATCAGTTTATAAATTGAATTCCGTTGTTAGTTATTGTTTCTGGAAATATTGAAAATTACAAACTTGATTTTGCTTTTGGACAATTTGCGTGGGATATTGAAATTTAGTCCTCAATAAGCTGCAATTATTTCAATTGTGATGGAAGGTACGCAGATGGAATTTTACAACATTAAATGTATTGTTCTCCGGTCTATTGAAACATGTCAAATGTGCAGTGTCTCTTTTAAATAAATAAAATTAAGTAATACTTTCCGAAATAGTGTCTGTAACTACTTCGTACTATTTACATAGATATATTTTGTTGCTTCTAGACAGCATATTTATTATTTTAATTACATTTACTCAATTTATAAACGCATAAAAGAGGTGGTACCGTAATAGCAACATATGCACCAAATAAATATTTATATCTAATTAAATATCATATAATTTTCCAGCAAAATTCTTGAATTTATTCTCCGTAAAGAGTATCAACTATTGCTCAGTTTATATGTCATTCCTCTGGAGATGTTGTCTGGCGCTATTCTAGGAAAACAGAAAAAATAGCAAAAAAAAAATTGTTTTTAAAAAATGGGATATTTGCAAAAAAATATATCAGAAAGGCGGTAACAATGTTTTTCAAGGTAATGTACCTAATTAACATTACGTAAATACCTGTTACTTCGTAATTATTAAAAACTCCGGTAACCATGGAATTATACAGAGTCACAATAAAATAGAAATTCAACAGAAATCGTTAAATGGTAAAAAACGGACGTTTTGGAAATGTCAATTGCTATCCTCATGACCTCGAATTATTAACTTGTTTATAAATTACAAACTTAAATTTGAATCTTTAACCTTATTATCCACACTTCTCGAGCAGCTTCTCGTTCTTCTGTTAATTAGCTCCTGTTCAATTTGTACCGATGTTCAGTGAGCGATTGGTTCAATGTGTCCTTGTGCTCTGTTTATCTTATATACGTAGCAGGAATGTAGCCCTTCCTCGGTATTTATTTGGTGAATGGGAAAGTGTCAGTTGTTGTGCAACGCTCTGAGTTCCCCTGGAGGGCTCTGCTGCAATTATGTCCCATACTTGTTCCTCTGTTTATGGAACCCGAACCTCTATTGTAGCCGATTATCTTCCTGGAGCCAATCTCCAGTATCTCTAGCACTGTGCTGACGTTGACTGATTCTGCTATGTTACTGTGGCATTTCCTTAGAACCAATCACGTATCCGTAAATTTGTGAAAGGAGCTTCAAACTAAGTCATAGTTTGACAAATTATTGTTATTATTGAAAAGGGCCATCCACCTGTAACTATCTCTTGACGACAAAAAATAGCATTGTTGCTTCGACTATTCTTCAAAAAATTCTACAAGAGAACTTTTTTAATATAATTTTTTTTGTAAATTGAAACAAAGATCAAATAGAAT